TCATTCTATGTTAGTGAATATTTTCTTATTGCTACACAAACATTATTATTCTCTTTGATGATTCTTATTGTGCTTAATGCTTAGTCAACTATTCTGTACAATTAAATGACAGTTAATCATATAAAAAGTTAAGGGAGAAAAAAAAAACAGCTGTTGATAAAAAACCCTTGATACAGTAGTCTATCCAGATGTATGTTAACAGTGTAGTAGTACTTTGATGGGTTTTTTTTTCATAATGGATCACTTGAAATGAATTTTCCAAGTTACAACAAAGTAAAATGAATTTTTATTTCTTCGTGAACTATTTCTCTATCTTATTGATGATGAATAGTTTTTCACTAAAAGTGTCTATTAACTTTTATTTCAATTAAACAATAAATTAGTTTGTCAATCAATTTACTTTCTTGACTGTAGAATGATTAAAAATGACTGGTAGCTTGGAAATTCTTATTAATTCCAAGAAATAAACACTATTGAAATGAATAATTGCATAGATTACTAGTAATTTTAAAAGTAGTGAGAAGAATTCGTTATTTATAGAAGAAAAAATAGGATATAATCTAGTCGGTTACTTCCGTTTTACACGTGAACGCCTAACCTCCGGGCCACTGGGCCGGCATCCAGCGGTGTTAATGTCTAACTCTGACCAATCTAGGGATTTTGTGCGACCTCACCCATTGGTTTTCTCGCAAGGCTGAAGTTCCTGGGCTCGAGTCGTGCGAGTGACAGGAATCGTGGATGCGCACTGCTGATGAGTCCCATTCCAGGACGAAACGGCCGTCTAGTGCTTCCAGGTTTCTGATCTGGGTCGAGCAATGATTGATTCATGTTTTCAATGTGTTAAAGCAATAATCTTCATAAGTCTAGTTGAAAAGTTGTTTACAATAGCTCAGTTTTTGATGTTGATTATTTACAAAACTATAGAAGGCGTAACTACCATTGTTTATTCTATGATCAACTACCGAAGATCATTTTCAGTAAATTAATAGTCTGTTCATTTTATAAAATCCCGCGCGTAATTAGCTTTATAAAAAGAATTGAAGTATTGTTATTTAACTAATCAGTAAGAACTAGTCAATACTCATTAGCTTAAACGTTTTTTAAGAGTTCCTTTGGTAAATTACCTTATTGTTTTTGATCATTATGACTTACCATATTGGAATCTGATTGTATAAATTTTAAAAATCTATCTACTACCAAAGAATACTGAATAGTTCAGAAATTTGACGAGAACAGCCTATACAATAATTTATGATTTTGCACTGTCCCCTCTTTGGTTGATGCTAGACAATTTACAAACAATAATTCATGTTGTTCAAATCATATCAGTATGATATTGATCAACTGAATTTTCTTGTTTGATTGAAACATTCTTTATAAATAACTTATTTATGGTATGCAATGAAAATCAAATGAATATCACAATGAGTAATTATCAAGTTGAATCAAAAACGGATGTAACATTGACGTCAAATTGAGTCAACTATATAATTTTGGCTTTTCATCTTGTCATATCAAAGACAACTTTCTCTGTTTTCATTGAAATCCTGAACTAATCTAAGCTAGACCATCATTGAAAAGCTGGAAACACTGAATGACTGTTTCATCCTAGTATAGCTGCCTCTCCAGCAAAGCGCATTCCTGAATCCATGACTTTCAGATCGTGCGAACGCCTATCCTCTAGATCACTGAGTTAGTATCCAACGCTGCAGTCGATGTCCAACTTTTTTTTAATAAAAACGCTCTTCCTTCTCTATATTTCTTATTTATTTCCTTTTCAATTAGAAAAAAAAATCATGTCTCACTATTTGATATCTATCTATATTCATAGTAATAGTAATTTCTCTCTCTCTCTCTCTCTAAACATGAGTCGTTTTATAAATTATTTTCAATAAATAAAAACTATTATTTTGGTGAATGGAATATTCTGTTTGTTTATTGTGTACCATCTGCTCACAATATTGACAAAATGTTAATTTATCTTTTGCATTTACATGAATAATTAGAATAAAAATTTTCCACTAAACATATAGACATAGTGGAAATGATAAAGTATTTTCTCCATAATATACATTATAAACCGGAAGTGATTTAATTAAACTGTATGCACATTACAACTTTGATGAATGGTGTTTTAATTTACTACTACTGTAGTGAATGAGAACACAGGTGGGGCAACCGGATTGTATTTAACGAAAATTACAGAGTTACTCAGTAAAATCAGAAAACCATATCGTAAATCCTTAATTTGCAAAATATCAGTTCATAATATCGAACTGGACTGTTCCTGTTGTAAACAACATCAATCCATTGTCACTATTCATGCGTTTCATACAAATTCCATTGTTTTCTAACTCTTCCTTTCTTGATCTTCCCCCATCTTCGGCTGCCAGACATTACGTTTTCACTCACGTCATATACTACTTATAAGTAGCTCACACCACACTACTACTACTACTACTTTTTTTTTATCAACAATCATAACTTGGAAATATTTTTCAACATGTTCAAGTTACTTAAAATCATTGATTCCTGTTTCGTTTTAATCTGGGATTAATTACAAAGTGAAATCTGGCTATTATAGAGAAATTTAGATTAAAATTCAAACAGTTTGCATTTCTTGATTCCAGCTGATTTAAGATGTAATGCGATGGTCATTCAGAGTCATCTTCGATTCACATGAACCTACTAGTCACCCCATCTCCTTTAGACTCTAAATTCTGAAATAAAAAGCCCAATAACTTTATAGTACTTCTTGATTTTCAGTTGTTTTCAAGATTGCATCTGTTCATGATAATACCATTCAACTAGGAACTTGTGGTAAATACCTTTAATTATTAGATATACACTGACATCTTTTTCGGTTGATACATATTTCGGTGATATTTATGTCGTTTTGTAACTTTGCAACAAAACGTATTTACATTACGGGGTTGTAAAGATTGTTAAGTTACACATTTTTTGAAACCATGAATCGATCAATGTTAGATCACCATTAGAAACCTGGAAGCACTGGACGGCCGTTTCGTCCTGGTATGGGACGTTGGGTACCGGCTCAGTGGTCTAACGGTTAGGGCGTTCGCGCACAATGTCGAAGGTCCTGGGTTCGAATCCTGCGGGGTGCAGGAGTCGTGGATGCGCACTGCTGAGGAGTCGCATACTAGGACGAAACGGCCGTCCAGTGCTTCCAGGTTTCTAATGGTGATCTAACGTTGATCGATTCATGGTTTCATAAAAACGCATTTAGTCACTGGATTGTGTGCATTCATTTGAGCTCCGAATAGATGATTGGTTAATTTTAAGTTTGGGCTATCAACCGAAATTTATTGATCGGTGTTTTTTAATCATCTTTTTAAGTGAATTGTATTGATTTCACTCAAGCCAGGAATAATAACAGACAATCTAGCTTTATTATCCTTTTTTGAAATTACTCTTCTGATTCGCTTCACAACTCGGATAATGACCTAAGGTAAATGGAGTGAGTTGCTACGTTGATGATAAACTATTAGAATTAACTCTACCGAAATGACTTCAGATCTAACCTGTCTGTTAAATTGCAGGTCTTTTGTAACAAATAATACATAGAAATTTGTTTAAGAATAAGAACACATTTTTTCATTACTCCTACAACTAACTGCCTAATACGAAAATAGGTGACAGTTTACTACAATGAAACAGTTCATGATGTATCTCATATGGTCATTAAGAGCATATAAATATTTGACTCATTCAAATATAGTTTGGCAAATGACTGTCTACTCTCTTACGATGTATCACCGTCCCTCGAAATAGTAGACATGTGATTTACTATATGGCTTGACTCCCATGCAAGTACATCAGTTGAAAAGTAGAGTTTAAGGATACAAAACTCATTTTGAATAAAAATAACTTATTACAACCAATTTGTATTTTAATCAGCCATAAGATTTTCCGAATGAAGGTTTTCTGCTTTTTTTCATCTATCAACAATCCAAAGATTCAAATGCTAACAATGTTTGTCAACGAACTATCTCTATATGCCTCTCTCTGTAAGCTGCATATATTGGTCGGCTTTAGTTAAAATTGTCATGATAGCATAATCACAATAATCAACGAAAGAGAGTAGTAATGAATATTGAACTGTGTTTTCAGAATTGCTGAGTGAAACTAAGCGATTTCCAAAACTATTAAAAAATACAGTTTCCCCCACTTGACATTCTTTACTGGCTCACTTCAAACTCATTTAATCAACCACATTTAGTACAAAACGTTAAATTTTCACTCTCTGTATAATTACATTATTTTAAAACATGAATATTTGACCTGAGTGAAGCCTGAAATATTTAATATGATAGAAGTAGCAGTGAGAAGACTGAGGTAGGCGCGGAAGATTGTATGATGCAGATCTACACTCTCGGTCAATTAAAAACGAAAACATTACATTGAACACTCTATTTGCACACCATCTTTGAGTCGTGACTTCCAACACTCCATCCTTCTTCCATTCTTGTTGTTTCTTCCTTTCGTTCCTGTTGGTACTACTCCATTTACTTCTTGCTTTTGCTCCATTTGCTTTCCGTTTTCCTCTAGTGACCGTGCGACTTCTTCTTTCACGTCCCTTCTTATACTACTTATATCGTTCGTATAAGTAGCACAACCACAGTAGTAGTAGTTAAATAGAGAAACAAATGTTTGAATTTTATCAAAAATATTGTTCATTTCCATTGATGATAATATCACTACTACATAAAAGTTACAAAAATTTATTAGTTGTTATATTTTTTTTTCAAATGTCTATTGGTGGTGGTAATATAATAATATGTAACTGTCATAATTGAAATTTGTTAATTCTCACAGTTTAGCAATATGATGCAACTTCATGCCATTTTGCAGTGTTTATCATCAGAAACTTTTTCACATGTGTGTAATGATGTATACGTTAACTGACTAACTAACTAACTAATTAAGCCTTTTTTGTTTTCTTTCACTTCAATTTTCTCCCATTTGATTTTATATATCAGGGTTAGAAGAAATTCAAAATGATGGTGATTCACCACAATGTCCTGTATGTGGCCGTATGTGGATTCATATTCCTAATTTTGATAGTCATACTGTTGTTGTTACCTGTGACAAATCTAATGATTTTGATAAGAATTCCGATCATACAAAATGTGCATGTTCGATTACTTTATCAGAACAAAATAATAATAATAATCCTATCAGTGATCATCAACACAATGATAATGATGAAATAGAAGATGATCATCGTCATCACCGTTCATCCGATCACGGAAATCATATGCACATGGATGAACAACAACCAATTCATGAAATAATGCATCATCATGATTCAAATCAATTAGCAAATTCAAACATTGATTGCAATTCAACAAACAATATGACCATTATAAATACTTTATTATCAAATCCACCTTTTTCTGAGTATAAAAGTTGTATTAATGCTTTCTCATTGGAAGTAAGTTTATTGTTCGGATACTTCTTTTAGTGTAGTAATAATTGTTTTGTTTATTTTTTCAGTTAGTTTTAATTACTATGTTTTCAACCACTAAACAATAATCTATATGGATGATTACAGTATTGAGTCATTTGGTCTGCTACCCAAATTACAATTTGATTGATAGAAATCAGTCGGCACAAAGAACTCCCGACCGAAGCTGCTACCTTGACGTGGTGGTCGGTCTTGTCTCTCGTGATGACCCAACTGACCTATATTGGCTGGAACATATGTTCCTGAAAGTTCTACCATGCCAGTCAGGTCCGTTAAATAATATTTAGCATTCAAAAATGAATAATTTACAGATGATTCTTTTAGGTTGATATAAGCTAGTTTTTACATTGCTGTAAGCTGGTTGAAGTTGTCAGTGTGACACTTATCAGATTCTGATTCACTAGAATCTAAAGCTGAGATAATTATTTCCAGAACTGAAACTTCATTCCGATTCTATAGGACAGTGATTGCACGAACTAAGAACAAAATAATCTTTTACTATTTAATAGTTACTAGAAATTTCAAACTCACTGTAAAAAACTGAACGAAATTCCCTAAATTAATCAGTCAGTCAATGACAACGTAGAACTGTGTACGTATGTCCATCAGTTCAAGTTGCCACACCATATTAGCACAGAGATGTAATTGTCAATTCAAATCCAATAGTAGTATTAGATGTAATAAAGGTATTAGCAGTAATCAAAAAGATTATTGATCGAATATATCATTCGAGATGTATATCCCAGAGGAATCAGTTAAAAAAGAGAAAAAAACGGTTTCGAGGAATTCAGAAGATTAGCATTTGAGAGAACACAAAGAGTGGATGCAACTACGCCATTGCAAACCGTTTTGAGCCATGTCTTTCAAGGTCTCTAACAATTGGTGACTATCGTCTCGTGGACGCCAACCAGTTAGTCTACATCTACCAACATGACTCGACCCAGCTATCGGTGACTTCATGAGTTGGTGTCCCTAGCTTTCTTCCAACCTTTTCCTACACCGCAAAATATCGCTAGCCGATGCAGTTGGGCCTAGGTAACGCAAGTCCCAACCACCTCAACTGATGAAGTTTCATGACTTCACTTATTGGTCTACTACCCTTACTTAGTACTCGTCTCTTGAATATAGCATTGCTTACTCGGTTGTCCCAAAATACACGAGCAGTGCTGATAAGACACCTATGATCCAAGACCAGCAACCTACGAATATCCTCTACTCTGAATGGCCATGTTTCACACCCATAAACAAGGACGGAGCGAACTGCCGCTCAGAACACAGTCAGCAAACGATATCTCACCTACTCCATAAATGATACAAGTTGGAAAAATCCAACCAAGCCTTCCGTATCCGTGCTGAGATTTCATCACACATCAGGCCATCAGCACTGATGAGACTCCTGAGATAAGTGAAGCTGTCGGCATGCTCAACTGCTTCACTTCCTATCACTAGTTCAGGTGCGGATACAAGCTAATCTTGGAGTAAAATTTTTCGTTTCGACGACGAGAATCGCATCCCGAGCATGCTTGCATTGTTCCCCAGGCTAGTCAGAAGACTGCATTTTGTCACGTAGAACTATATCATCGGCATATTCATTCTACTGAATAATAACTTTGGCTTACAATGAAACTGATCTTTAAGCAATCACTATTCTTTTCAATCTTACTTGAAATAATTTACTTTAGATGATGTAAACGTCTGATCTGTACACAGGAAATAGTATTTTATGTATATATGAAATATTGACCTTTTCTTATGCATTACTGATATAAATCAGTTATCCCAGCTAACGGACAACGATTAATTTCCATTTTACTAGTTTAAAACACTCTAACAGTTATAACAATAATAATATTAATAATAATAGTAATAAATGCTTTTTATTTGAATCATATGTTACGATGACTAAACTGGTTACTATGCCATTGAGAGAACTATTGTATGTATGCATTGTACTGTACTGTATTGTACTGTACTGTACTGTTCTGTATGTATGTATGTATGTGTATATTTATCTATCAAGAAATAGACATAATTTTACTAGATTGACTATGTCTAAAATAATGGCATATCACATGTGATTAAAATAAATTTTCTAATATTCAACTTGAAACCGTTAAAAATTTTTTTTAACATAAATTTTAAACTAAATGACTAAGTAAGTATATACAGATATATACATATATATCTGTATTTATAGAGTTGAGGCATCAGAATATGAATATAAATATTGGAACAAAATTATTCAAGCTTATAAATGATGATAGACAACATAAGATGTGTATTCTGAGACAATTAAAATGACATCAATGTTAATCAGAAAAATATATTATTATTTCATTAAAACTACAAAATTATTAGACAGTTATAGTTCTGCATTTAATTTCGGCTATTCAATTCCATGATAAATTAATGTTTATATTAATGAGTGATAGATTGAGGTTTGTGTTTCAATAGAACTAAAGTATCATACCAGAAAGTTCTGAGATAGCTGGTCTGTTATTATATGGTCAGTACCGGATCAGGCCTTATGAAATACAAGTTTATTGAACCAAAAGTTGGGTGTCTACCGATTCTTTCATTCGGTTCTAATTAGAAAATTACTTGATACTGATAGTAGTTTAATACCGCTGTAGTTCTCACTCTTACGTACTAAGATCTCATTCCTATGGTATCTAGACGGGGTATCCCTCTTTCCCGTCTGTCGATACTTGCTCTTCCTCGTAAATGTCTATGAAGAGAAGGTTAATCATCTTTGCAGCTATCTCTACGTTTGACTTGAATGCTTCATCTGGTATACTATCTGGTCCTGCTTGATTTAGCGCTCTTGATTTATTTGATGACCTTGGTGATTTCTCCGATTATTCAGGAATAAGATCTGCAAGAAGTTTTGTGTGTTCTGCTTCGTTGCCCCTTAGGTTGGATGGTGCTAGTCTGTTCGAGAGTTTTTGGAAGTTTTCTACCAACCTGTTCCCCTGCTGTTTAGTCTGAGTGTTTGATTTTTATTTCTGTCCTTGACTCGTTGCACTTCGTTATTGTACCATGTAGTTCCTTCATATTTTCTTGTTCTGCAAATTGTCCGCTGTCATTTTCCTATGTTCGTTTGTAATGCAGTTTTTCACTCATATGTTTGTTTCTGCATATTCAACCTGTTCTTGACTTTCTCTGCTCTTTTCCAGCTGTTGTTGATTGCTGTCTTTCTTGTTCTTCCAATCTTGAATCTTTCCCAAAGTACAAACAGAGAAACACTTCATGTTAATAGTTCTTGAAACCCAGCACCTCCTCAGATGTAGATGGTATTGCTTCTTCGGTCCGTTTCCATTTCTCCATAATCGCTTTCACTTTTTTGTGATGCTACCTGTCCAATGACCCAATGCTTGTTTAGGTTCAGTTTTAGCTTGACCATCACCAGGGGTGTTGTTCTGAAGTTATACTAGTTCTCGTCTTTGTTCCTACGTCTTGCAAAGACCTACTGAATTTCTTATTGATCCGATTGTCGTCGACCTGGTTGTCTGTAATGTATTCCATTGAAATACATATAGTTTTGTGTATGTGTATATGGAAGAAACATAGCCACCTATAACCATTTTGTGGAAAGCACAGCAACGTCAGTCTCTCACCACTCTGATTCCTTTATCCAAGTTTATGTCGTTGCATGATGTCTTCATATTCGATGTTGTCCATACAAGCCTTGACGTTGAGTTCTGCCATCAAGATAACTAGTTGCTTTGCTATTCAGTTGTCTACGATAGACTGCAGTCTCATCAAACCGGTGTTTATCACCTTCATTACTGTCATTGGTGAGTGTGTAGCAGAGGATAACATTGATTGTAATCCACTCCTTCATTGTTTTGAAGAATGCGTTGATATTTATATTTGTGGATCTATGAGATTGCTATCCTATAAACGATTTTGTGCCTCTTTGCAGAGTATCAATGCAACTATTCGTGTGTATGTGTATGTATGAAGTGCATTTGAATCTTCCTTACCAGATTTCAATGATAAGTTTTCTAACGTGTGTGTTATTTTGTTCGGATTTTGTCAAATGAGTTTGACTTACTTGGAGTCTTCCTAAGTTGTATCGTCCTCTTTCTCCAACTATTTGAGTGAACCCTCTGGCCTCTCACATTTTTCGAATATATCATATACATTAAATAACTTTAGTTGTGATTGTGAGATGGGGTATCGGCCTCGATATTTCTGAAGAATCTCAATTTTTACTGTAAAGTGTCAATAACTTATTAATAAAGATCTTTTATCCGACAGATCGAAGTTTAGATGTTTTAAACAGTTTTTTGTGTGGCTACCGTTTTCTGACAACGGTTCTCTTCTAAGAGATGATATCGTTAACACAATACATAACCTTTTACATTGGTTTAGCGCCGAGAGTAACTTTAGAAGGGCTTTAGATGGCGTTAGTGCATAAGTAATCACAATAATAACAATATCAACGCATATAATCCCTATGCATCGCTAACTAGAGTAGTTTATCATATAAAAATGAAAAGTATTACACAAAAGTAAAAAAATACCAACAGTATTTATAAATTACTAGTTCGTATTCAGTAACAGTTTCAATAAATAATTATTTCGCTGATAATTAAAATTTCAAGATTATGAAATTATGTAAAAGTCGTTTCATTTTAAATTTTATTTAATCAGATAGATAGATTTTACAATTTCAAATCTTTTTTTATTTTTTTTTAAAATTAAATTAAATTTATCCCAATTTGTGTTGTTATAACACTTATAACAGATTGCAAATGCATTCATCTCATGTGATTGGACAATTCGACAATATGCATTAAAACAAGCAACTCATTTAACAATACGTCAAGTTATTTTAACTAGACAATATCATTTACATTCAGTAGATCATAATAATAATAATCTTGTCTGTTCAATTAATTCACATGCTGACAATTGTGATACAACATCAACAACAATAAATAGTCAATTATATACAGGATCATCAGATTGTGTAAAATTAATGTTTAAATTAATTCGATTTCTACTTGATGATCCAGTCGATGCAATATTCACTGATGCATTGGTAAATTGACTTTTGATATTGAAAACTTTTGCTCTATTTTTTGCATTTATTTTGTGAGTACACATAGTTAATATTTGAACTTGCTATCCTACAAAACTCTTTATATCAAAACAAAATATATTTGAAAATGATTTAGTTTTTTGAATAAAACTCTACCACGATTATCTATTTGAACTAAAACTTTTCTCCATACCTTTAAAGTCTGAATATTATGTCAATACTAAACAGGTTATATCTTGTGTTTTCCTGTTTATTTGTTTAAATAAAATTCATTTTCATGGTCATTTGGTAGTTTTAAGAGTGTTGGAATAGACTTCACTAGAAAAAATCAATGTGAATGAACTGAATACATAAGAAAATCTCACTGAAAGTCGTTATTACATAAATCAAACACCTGGAGTGAAGTAATTCATTTTTTTTAATAGAAGTTACAAATTAAAGCAGAATAATTTATGAAATGATAAACAGTTAATGCATTACGGGGTTGTGAAGATTGTTAAGTTACACATTTTTGAAACCATGAATCGATCAATGTTAGACCACCATTAGAAACCTGGAAGCACTGGACGGCCGTTTCGTCCTGGTATGGGACTCCTCAGCAGTGCGCATCCACGACTTCTGCACCCCGCAGGATTCGAACCCAGGACCTTCGGTATTGTGCGCGAACGCCTAACCATTTGGACCACTGAGCCGGTACCTAATGGTGTTACTGTCTAACTTGATCAATTCACGGAGTTGCGCAATCTCACATAGTGTCTTTGGTAGTTACTGTCTACACCCGAACAGGTTGAACTTCAGTGGTCACATCCTCTCACTAGAACTCAGAGAAGATTCCTCACGAAGCTAGTCACTAGTGAGCACAGGTAATTTGCATTACGGGGTTGTGAAGATTGTTAAGTTACACATTGATCGATTCATGGTTTCAAAAATGTGAAACAGTTAATGATTCAGTTTAAAATAGAGATGTACTTCTGCATAACATGTAATTAATAAACATGAATAGTGGAACACTTAATGATCAGAACTCGATTTACAAACAAAACTAAATATACTTCAAACAATCGTCAATTTTTAATAAGAAGTGTTCTCATCACTTTGATTTGTTGAAGGAATTAGTCATTGTTTAATCAGTTGAGTTTATATGAGGAAGCCCGTACCAAACCTAGTTAGTTGATGTATAACAAAATCTTGGCATGAATTCAGAAAGCTCACTTGACTTGTATCAACTTGAATCATCATTTTCGTGAACGAAATATTTTTTCTTCCAACTAAATGACCAATACACTATTTAACAGTTTGTTCTATTTTATTTTCGTATTGTAAAATATCATATCTAAAAGGTAATTGACCATAAGTGCCTTTGATGCATTGCTTACATTGATTGGCACCATTTAGTGAACAATCTTAAGTTCAAACTCAGTGTACTAGGCGATAAATGGCAAACCAGTTTGATGAAGCAGTGAATCTTGATCGATTGAGGTGGTTGAAACATGCATTACACATATGCTTAACTATTTTCGACCTCATAACTGACTAGGTCACTTAAAAGAATCTGATTCAGAATTTCTGGAATATTTTTTTTTTGAATTTTTAAAGCTGACCAATTTATTTGTAAATAAAGAGTAGCATTAAACATAATGAATTATGAACAATGAAAACGGTAGTCTGGCTCAGAATCGTTTGCAGTGGCGCAGGTGAATCCACTCTTTGTGCTCTCCCTTATTCTAATCTTCTGAATTCCTCATAATCTCTATCTTACTGAATTAAACTTCTCGAATCATATCTTCGCTCCCTAATCTTCTCCGTTACTGCTAATACTTCTACTATTGCTATCACTCTTTGATTTGAACTGACAGTTGCGTCTCTGTGTTGATGTGGTATGGCAAGTTGAACTGATGTACTTATGTACGATGTTCTGCGTTGTATCAGTCTGTCTGTCGACCCTTAAATATCAGACATAAACTTGTCCATAAATTTCTATTGTCAGTGGTAAGGCATTTAGTGTAGAGAGCTAACTGAATCATTTTTATTTTATCAACACTAGACTATAACTGACAGTCTGTCACACGGTTAAGTAAGTAAACAAAAATTCATTTGTTATTTATTCAAAAGACCAAATTACCGGATAGTTTAAATGCCTTTTCTAAATTTCTTTCACATCTCTATGTGTTGTTTTCTCCTTTTTTGAAAATTTAACTAGCGAGCTTTTCGTGAATTACTTGGATATTTAGTTTGTTATAATAAAGAAACTCAAACAATTTTACAAAAAGCAATCGACCCAATCCTACGTCGTCTATTACGTTTTGTTGGTGGATCAAGTAATTATTGGAATTTACGAAATCCAGACACATTTTTACCTGTAACAATAACACCCATTCAACAAAATGATGAAGATAAAACAATTACAAATCGTAATTTGACAAGTAACATAATGAAAAATTCTGTTAAAATTCAAGAGGAAAATAATAATCTTACAAAAGCATTCAGTGAATTAAGCACCGCGGAATCGAAATCATCTTTACTATTACCGAAAATACCAGTTGATGTTAATTTTCGTGATCGATCAAATCTTGCATTGACTACACTGATAGAATTAGCTAAAGGACAAACAGGTGCTTTAGCTATCGGGCGAGAAGTTCACTCTGGTAAAGTAGACTTTTTCTTTGTTTTGCTATTTATTAGCATTTTTGCTGTGTACATATTATTTATAGAATTATGTAATGAATAACAATTTCCAGTTAATGTTTAGCCTAGGGAATGAGTTTAAATTAACCATAAGGATTTTTTTCTTAGCCAGTTCTTAACCAGTTGAAAAATAACTTTTCTAAACGAAACAATAATAATTATGAAGTGTAGACAGATTCACATTATCAGTGAATCTATTAAACTGTTTGAAAATTTTTTCTATACATCAAAACAGCAAATTAAAACTTCATCCACATGGATATACACGGCTTGCCTTCTTGAGCCTCTACAGGAATACAAAGAGATGTTAGGAATCCTTAGGTTGTGTTTGGGTTATAAATTACTATTCAGCTTTATGATAAGAGATTCAGTTTAAAGTTTACATCATGAATTGTAGTGCAAGAACCATACAGTTTTGGCGTTTAGTGTAATTAGCTAATTGGCATTAGGGAACTGAAGGCTTAGTTGAGGATGAAAGGTTGACAGTTAAAAAATTTAGGAAGAGAATTAATTTACAAAGTGTATACACTGATGTATAATTATTCTCTGTAGAGAATAGTTCCAAATATTTTTCCCTTTCATTCCTACGTAATATGCTAGCTAAACTAACACTAATTGACAATTGGTACGATTATCTTTTGACAGAAATTCTTTCTTAAATTCACATGTTATGTCAAGAAGAAGACGTGTAACGAGGAATTATTTTGATCAGTGTAACATCGAAAAATTTTATTAACAATGTACATGTACGTGCCCTTACGGGCTAAACGTGTGAAACTTTGTGATGTGTAAAAAGTAGCATGTGTGCATATGCTGCACGTTAGTTGGTTAATCAAGAAGTAGTCTTTCCCTATATTTACATCTGTCCAATCTATAATTGTGGGTTTAGCCACTTAGTGATTTCACTGTGAGTGAAACGTTTTGTTCAGGTGAATTAAATGGAAGAAGATCCTTTTTATGCCGAAAATCATCTGTAATTTTATATATGAATTCTTAGACTAAGCAAAGCCAACACCATACAATCTAAAAAGAAATAATAATCGATGAAGTAAATAAAAATATTGTTAGTTATTTTTATAACTAATTGTAGTTATGCCATAACTAACCAATCAAATTGTGGTTTAAGCGCCCATCACGTGATCTGATCTGACAGGTCTGCAAACTTTTTTCGTTGTAAATGACCTAATAATTGAAGGACACTATTATCTTATTATATTGATGTGACTCATAACTGTATTGATTTCCATAAGACACGCTATATTGGTCGGTACGTTTGCTCGTCTTACTTGATAATTAAACAGATAAGGTTTGAAGCGAAGTTGATCTTGTTTTAACTATAGCTTTCCCATAGACTCTGTGCTCGCCAATATTGCGTTTATAGTTCAAGAAGTTTATCTGTAGGACAAATTAAATCCTACAAATATCAACAATTTAAATGGCTCAAATGTACATGTAAAACAGGGATCCATTGTTTCGAATAAATTAACTTTTGGACCTTCATACATTTTCACTGATCTAATTGATATATATATGCAATCTTTCAATAGATGTAATATGAAATTATAAACAACAAATCATTTCTTCAATTCAATCAAATCAATTTTGATTGAATTCAACTGTAAAATAAAATGAGTAAATAATAGTTTCATTGAATTATGAAAAGATTAAATCCTTCAAACAAATAGAAACGATTCTATCAATATATTCATTTAACAAGAAGTTTGTATTTTCATAAAGATGAATCCTTTTTGGGTTTGGTCAAATGAAAAACTACTGTGTACTTGAATTGTATGATGTGCAGTCAGTAATTCATTTTATAATTTGTTTTTTTTTAATACTGACTTTGTCTAGCATCTCAATGTTTACCGGTCAGTGGAATACAACATATGGTACGTTTTGTGTTAATTTCTGCTAAATTTCATGCTACTCATTTAATTGGTCGTCTAACAGTTGTTGACAAATTAATTCGAATGCATCAAACACGAAGAATGCTATTCATGCAACATCAATTGAAACATGAAAAATTGTTTCCCATCCCCTTCTCCTCCACATCAGCTGATTTAAGTGGCATGAATCATAATCACAATCATAATAATCCTGACATACCATCATCATCATCATCATCTTCATCATCAGTAGTTGTTAAAGATGAAACAAATGCACTCCCACCGGCATCATCATCATCATTGACAACAACATTATCGTTGACAGATCAATCATTAGCAAGACGACATTTATGCTCTGCTATTATATTTGCTAGACGTCATTTATTACCGATTTACCCGAAACCAGATAATATGACCATGTGTTTTCCACATCATTATCAATTACAATCAACTGATACACATTGTAATAATTTTATGTCACGATTCTCACCACCAGCACAAGCAACACCAGCCGCAGCAACAGTAGCAATAACAGGTCAACCACACCAGCATCCTCATCATCAGAATAGATTCAATGCTATGAATTATTATCATGATATACATTATAAAGCTAATCGAATTGTAAGTTTTGGTTATGATTTACTATTTACTACTTTTTTTTTTGATTATCTGAAAACTTTTAAACAATTTGAGTTGATAAAAATTGCCTATTCTCATTGAGGTAATAAACCCAATAGTATATTTGTAATCTGTTACAACGATTTGCTAACATACTTGAAAATAAGCAACCACAACCAAATGGCAATCTATGAAAATTCTTAACTATACATTATTCATTATGTAACCATTAATGAGATGGTGGAGAAAATTTGTTGTTTCAAGTGTATGATTATGGTGATGTTTCGTTCTCTGAGCTGGATATTTTGGTTGTGAAGCTTTCATTGTTCTTCTGGACAACATCATCAGCACAAATTTCGGATAGCAGAAGTGAAGTATTCGAATTTCTCCATGTTTGACCTGTAGCTTGTTCTGCAACCAATCAAGATCGAGGTTAACAGAACAAGCTACAGGTCGAACGTGGAGAAATTTGAATACTTCACTTCTATCTGAAGTTTGTGCTGATGATGTTGTTCAGAAGAACAATGAAAGCTTCACAACCAAAATACCCAGCTCCGAGAACGAAACACCACTACAGTAACTATTCATGTTTTTGATCACTTGTTCTAATCATGACAAATATCGATTTTGCTTATTATTTTAGTAAATTTAAATAATCAACATTTCTACACGAAATTACTAGTTGAATTTAAGTTAAAATCTTACACCGTAAAGTTATAGGAATCAGCAACTTTGGAAAATCTACTCATTCTTTCTACAGATTGAATTTTGACATCTTACTCTGTTAAAAAAGTTCCTGATTTTGTCCCATTTTTACTAAAAAAATATGTTATACTATCATGGTAATGAAAAGTACAATAGTATGTATATTTTACCAAACTAGTTACCCAACACAGACCTTATTCAAAACTAAATAGAATCAAATAGTTTGAACTATGGATTCAAGTGTAGACAAATTAGATTTTAAGTATAAGGGATGATGTCTGAAGTCGAGATGAAACTGGACTATTAACAGTTGATTCTGTTTAGCTCAATCAGTGATAGAATTCTGTGCTAGTAACTTGAAGAATACTGGTTTAAATATTTTATAACGCATTCCAATAATTCTTTATTCATTTTGTACGTTTATCTATACCAGCCTACTAATTTCATATTGTCTTTTGATAACCTTTTTTTCTTCTTTGTAAAGCTATCTTACCTGTTCACTTTTATTCATAGGCTAGACGAGTTTTCCTTACTGCTGCTAGAGCTCTGCTTACTGGACAAGGTGAAGAAATGTTTGATCGTTATGATCCACTTCCACCGTCTACTTTCAGTGCTAATTCATTTATTGAATCAGAGATTAATCGACTCGATGCACCATTGGCTACATGGTTTCGAAATCGATTATGTTTATTTCTTAATTCATCAAATGAAATTAAGAACAATAATAATAATAATAATAATAATAGTAATAATAATTGGAAAATATCTTTATCAAATCAAATGCCAATAGATATAAAACAATCACATGTTACTTCATGCAGAACTGATGCTTTAACTTTATCGTCATCAACAGTCACACCATACTCAACTTATAACAATAACAACAATAATAATAACACTAATATTAGTAAAGTAGAAAAATCTAATCGATTGGAAGAAGTGAATCCTTCTACGACAAATATTTCATGTCAACGTCATCATGAACAACAAACTGTTTATAATTCATTACAACAAGGTGAACAGTTGTTACCTGCGAAAAAATCCTCGTTCTCTTCTGTTGTTTCCATTAAAATGCCACCAATTCCACCACCTAGAAGATTAACAATCCCTAATTCTGAATTATTAATTGATGTTAACAGAAAAGAATCAATGAAGCTTGAGAAAAATCACAGTATGAATGATACTGTTACAACTGTCAATAACAACAATGTTGATGTTAATGATAATAATGATCATGATGATGACGATGATGAAAGTGAAAATACCAAAAAGATAAAAGCTCAAATTTTAAAATCTTCATTTGTTCGAATTGCATTAGAACCAGCCTATGATCTAGTTGCTTTATCTGAATCAGGCAATTATAGCAGTGTAAGTGAATTTGAAGAAGATGATGACGACGATGAGGACGATGATGATGATAATGAAAATGAAGCACTAGATCAACAACAAAAACAACAAAGAACTAATTTAAATGAACCAATTTATACAGGTCGTTCACTTGGTTCCGAAGCTGATCTACAATGTGAACAAGTGACTGCTTTAAGAAATGCATTAACACGTTCTACGCATCAATTAAAACCTTTATTACCAATACCTGGTCTATCATTTGTAATGAATTCATTTCAACAAACTAAAAAATTACCAAATTCCGATGAATATTATGAATCAATTGATTGGATACGTGGTCCTGTTCTAGGTCATGGTGCATTTTCACAATGTTATCAAGCACGTGATGTTAGAACTGGTTTATTGTTGGCTGTAAAACGTATACGTCTTGGACGAAATGGTATATTTTCATTTTTCTCTGCAGATAAACATAAATCATACGCATCACAAGTAAATCAACAAAATGAACATAAAAGCGGTTTGAATTGTAATGATCATGATGCACAAAAAAATCCAATTTATCATCGTCCATTATCACCGACATCATTGAATCAATTAGCTGAAGTTGAAACGGAAGTACGTATTATGCTTCAATTAGATCATCCTAATATTCTACGTTTATTTGGTGCTGTACATTGTGTAAAACGTGGATTTGTTGACTTGTTTATTGAATGGATGCCAGGTGGTAGTATTACAAGTTTACTACAACAATATGGAGCTTTCAATGAATCGATTACGTTAAATTATGGTATACAATTAATACGTGGTTTAGCCTATTTACACAAGCATGGAATACTACATCGTGATTTAAAAGGTAATTTAAAGGAAATAATTTGTTCATTGTTATTTTTATTATGATAAGAAAGCTTTCATATTATGTGTTGACATACACTAAAGAATTAATCAGTAGGCTTGGTCAAATAGATTATCATGATTTTGAGACCATCGAATGCCCTAGTCCAGCTCAGATTCGGTAGAATCCCCTCTCCTTCTCGAAATGCTCTCAAACGGTCATGCGTATAAATCCACTACCAGGGAATTCTTACTCACTGTCTTTTCGAGGCGGGGTTGTTGTTTACGAAATTGAGAGGACAAAAAACGACTGTCCAGCGCTTTAGTCGAGTTGTTGGATATGAAGGATTCACCTAAGCGAGTTGGAGAATCCTGGTTTCAAACCACTGGTGCACATGGGCTCCAAGATCCTGGCGAAAAGAATGGAGTATGAACCTATTGATGGCCAGTGGCTACCATGGGACTTCATCTCCCACTGCCTTGTGGGTTAGGTTCAACATTTTCTTGTTACTGTAATTGAGAAGTGAACAAGTATTTCATTTTTCCGGAATTCCCCGATTGAATAGCATTGAAATTTTTAAAAAATATGAATATAAATCTAAAATATTTTTGGATGCTCTTTTTACAAGTATTTGTACTTTCCCGTTACTTATGTTACCGTTTGCAATTGAACAGTTTATTTATTGATATAAATGAATCGGAAGCAGATTGCATCAATGTCATTATTTAGTCAAAAGTTATTAACAAAACTCTAAATATCGGAAATTATCATATTCATATTCATTACCAGATCTAGTGATTATCTAAATTCAGTAGTATAATGAATAATGTGTTGCTGTTCAGTTATTCTTACTGTCGATGAGATTGTTGTTCTAATGACTATTTTATTTCG